GTTGGTGCAGCCCAGGAGGATGTCCTTGAAGGTGATGGCGTCCAGGTTTTCCGACATGATGTCCAACAGGAAGTAGTCTCCGAGGGGGAGCTGGCGGAGGCCCTGCTCCACCTTGGGCGTGGTCGCCAGCTTGCCGCGCTGCTCGATCCACTTGATGCGCGCCAAGGGGCTCGCCATCAGCACGATGCGCCACACCAGCTGTTGGGGGGAGGGGGGGGGGCTCATTACAATCTCCGTGCTTGGATTTCGTCTCTCTTTTGTTGTTTGTCGTACATGTTTATTCTAGTACATTCTCCGTATGGGTTTATTTGCCAAATAATGTGTTGCGATTCGATATCATAGAAATCATCATTCTTAAAGCCATTATCATCATCATTATTACCCTTATTATTATTATCATCATCGCTATCATTATTACTTTGACACAACTTACATGCATGGCGGTGATGGTGGCCAGGAGGACGAACCAGAACCACATCAGGATGAAGACCTTCTCGTTCAGGATGTTCTGGGGAAGGATGCACAGCGACTCCCGCGTCTCGATGGTGCCCGAGGCTCCGAATTTCTTGAAGCTGCACTGAGTCACTCTCGGGAAGGTCGTGGCGAGGGGGTCGTGCGCCTCGTCGTCATCCATGTCGAAGTTGATGACCTGGGAAGCAGAAAGAAACGAGAGGTCAGGTCAGGCCGGGGGCGCGTGGGGCTGTAGGGAAGGGCCCTCGTCCTTTTTGAAAATATAATAATTTTAGCCTTTTTTTCTTTCTTTCTTTCTTTTTCTTTATACTATTGTATCATCAGACCTATCATCATTACCGCGATACCCATCCCCTGCATCGTCCTTCTTAGCGTCAAACGGACAAACTCCCTCCTTCCAACACTCACCTTCAGCCCGTACTCGATGAAGGCGCCCCCGAAGAACCTGTCAAGAAGGAACATTTGCCCGATCACGTTGACGAAGTTGAGAGCCTCGCAGACAAGGTAGACGATGGAATAACATCCGTTTCTGCCGTTGGACACCTTCATGTACCTGGAAAGAGATTGGTTGGTTGAAGAAAACGATTATGGTGGTTTGATGTGGTGGATAAACTGACCTGATGTGCGGCATTACTGAATATGATTGAATTACGATACTCCATCAACTATGACGATGGCATTGGATGTAAGTGGTGGTGATAACATTGGTTATTATTGTTCATGATGATGGTGTAGCCGTGGTGGCGACGATGGCCCCTCGTGAGACGACGATAGTAACTTACTTAATGATATTCTCCTTCTTCTTCTCGGTATCCTCGCAGATCGAGTTCCTGTTGAGACCCTGAAGGAGTGTGTTCGCCATCTTGTTCTCCTTCGCCTTCCACAAGAGGTGAGGCAGGTAGAAGAGGCAGCCCTGGAGTGAGAAGGGGGTTTAAAGAAATTATTTCAATTAACTTATAAAAATAATATTGTTCACGCTTGATTACTGGCTTTATAAACAAATTATACATATTTGATATATTAGGCATTGCCTTTCAACAGTGAAATTCAAACATTTATAAGTTATATGTACACACAGAGTATATAAATGACTAATAAGGTTTTTTACCAACAAATATAGGTTGTTATGTACTTGTGCCTTACCTGGAAGAACAAGACGAAGGGAACCCATTGGTAATAGGCATGGTATGTTTTGGTATGCTGTTCAGGGTCATACTGTCCGACTC